TTCTAGATTATAAAGCTATAAGAATAGGATAGTTCAATTTTTTGACATTAGAAGTAAATTTAGTTGCCTGAACATTCGATTTGAGGTAATTATGTAAAAATGTAACAAGCTGATAACTACAGGTGGTCACGTTATTGTGATTCGGGTGAGTGTGGTGACTGTAAATGCAGCTCAGTTCCAAATAGAGAACCATAGCCTCACATGCGGCAGTGACTGGCTGAAGACGTCATACGGATGGTCACGTTACTGTAACCGATTTCCTGATTGTCAACTCTCGCTTTCACTTCCCGAATATAAACTTTTTTCACTATTCTTAAACGTTATGTCTTGGTGTAGTCATTTCAAAGGTAGCGATTTAACCGTGGTTATTTTTATTTGATCTAACGTTATTATTAACCTTTTCATTTACGGAAATGTCAGTTTTCTACAAAAACGGGAAAAAATTTGAAAAAAAAATTATAGATCTTTTGCAAAAAGAGGGTTTTGCACCTCGAATAAGGTGAGAATTTTCACTGAGTATTTGTCGAGTAGTTTGTATCTGAAGGGACGCTGCCACTGAGTGTAAATCGGAGAATCAAAAGCGCTTCGTGGCCGCAACTTGAAAGTTATCGTTTCAGATCATTATTTAATATATGAATCTGAAGCCATTAATAGCTGCTGCGGAGGAATCGCGGGCTATGGTAAATAGGGTATATGTAAAATACTGATACACGATAACTAAACAGTTGTGAACGTTTTTCTCCGTTACTGAAAAAGCTGCTGCGGAGAAATCGCGGGCTGTGGTGAATAGGATACATTGACCATTTGAATTGATGGTTTTGACTACATTACTTATTATTATATTCTTTATTATTATTAGTTGCACTAGGGCCGATGGAGGAATTGACATCATTATAAACCATAATGGTGTAGTCTATGCAATTCATTGTAAAGCCCATAAAACCAAACTTGGTAAATATTAATATATTAATTAATATTATTGCAAAACTGTTATATACCAAAAATTGTTATATAATTTAATTTGAATATAGGTCCTCAAGACATCCAACAACTGAAGGGTTCGCTCGACAATTGGCCTCTAGAAACAACTGTTGGTATCTTAGTGGCTAATGGGGTTAATCGGTTTACTAAAGATGCCGTTTCAGAGGCCCAATCGTCAAGACATCACATTATCCTCGTTGGCACAAAGGATCTCATTAAAAAAATAAGAGATTATCAACCTCGACAGCAAAATGGGGGTTTAGTGAGAGCTTCTGAACTTCAAGTCCAGTTCAAAAAAGAATTAGAAAAAACTAGTTCAGAAGTACAACAATTAAAATCAGAAATAGCTAAACTTCGACATTTTCTAATTTCTTTTTCAAAAAATAAATAAAAATTGTTAAATTATTTCCTAACATTTATTTTTTTAATAATCTCATAATTATGATTATGTTGTATGTAAATTCCGTGTTCAAATACCTTCGGTAAAGAACAAGTTGTATTTATTATCGTTACCAAGCATTACAGCTTATGCTGACCCTACGCTTTTGACTTGCACTATGCCCGCATGACAATTAATGACTAACTAATTATGCTCACCACTTTAAAAAACCGTTGAAAAAAAGAATATCTCTTCGGACCACTGAATTTCAGTTTAAGTTAGGAAATTCGTTGAATTATTAATTTGGTAGCTTCTTCAGTAGTTGCTCTTACTATTACTATTATTGCTCACTCCTGTTTATTATTAAATTAAAGGTTTTTACTATACTAGAAGACATTCAGAGTTCCAGATTACTATTAATATGTCTTGAAAGTCAATATAACAACAATACAGTTCCGAAAATAAGACCCCCTTTGACTATATATATAGGGGAGTGCTTATTTTCGGAGGTTAGATTTTGTGTAACAGAAATCACATGCATATAGAACAAACTACCTATCTCGAGGAACTTTTATTCACAACAAGGCGCTCGCTAAAGTGCCAGTTTAGGCTGTTTTTATCTATTTACATTACATGCAGAGGAAGAGAATAAAAGCTCATGGAGGGGGGTTATTGGGGATCGGGGGATATGTATCTATTTTTAGAGGTTTGAATGATTGACTGTATTTTATTTGGGTGAATCCAGGGGGTTTGTGGATCTATTTGTATGTCAGTAGAACGGAGGAAGAGGATACGTCCTAGGATTTGGTTTAGAATGTCTTCATGGCATGGGGTGGGATTGTGCCCGAAGGCCCATCATAGAACAAACTACCCCAGTAGACCACCCAAGATCTGTTGCGCTCACATGCCATTTGACCAATAAAAAGCTTTCTATTCCTGTGTCCTGATGGTGCGCAAAATTTAGCTTCCCAATCCCTATAAAAGGAAAGCGCTAAGGGCTTTTGTTTATTTATTTATTTATATGAGCGGATAATAATAATAATAACAACTAAAAATGACATTAAAAATAAGGACGGTAACAGTAAACAGTAACAAACTATAGTCATAATACTCGACATACAGTGAAACCTCTTTATACCGTCCCCCGCGGTTGTTTCTATAACGGCCAAAATTTTCAGGAACGGATTTTCACATATGAAATTTCCCTTTATATACCGGTCATTATTAATTAAATTGTCTATAACGGCTACCGACCGAATTAGGAGCTTCAGGTATTTATATCATATTCATATTTCTGTAAAACAAATTTTGGCATTCGGTCGAAATTTTTTGGACAAATTTTCGTCATACTATTATAAAATATATGTAATTTTCCTTTTTGATCATGTAACACAATAAATAAACTTCTTTTTACTTTTACTACCATGACACGTAAACCAACGATACTCAATATTAATCTATTAAATTTGTTAAACCAAAGAATTTATTTGTTGTGACGAATCAATGATCGCTGATATGGTAAATGACGATGACATTATTGAAATAGTCCTACCCGCGAGTAATGAGCAAGATGCAAATGATTGTAATAATGACAGTGAGGCCAGTAAGACCTCGAAAAAAATTTCGTTTGAGGCGGCATTGACTGCTCTTAAAATAATGACCGAATTTATTGAACAACAGCCAGATAATTCATTCATCACACGAAAAGACGTGGATAACTTACTGGGCTTACAACGTAATATTGGGTTAAGCAGAATGGACAATCTTAATTATTCTCCCGAAGGAGAGATTATTATTTAGTTTATTACCTTTCTCAACAAGACTTAAATATTCCTTCGCTGATTATTCGAGCAGGCAAAGTATCATCAATGTCTGGAAAATAAATGTATCTTCCTTCACTATGTAGTTTAGGATTTTTTAATTGTTCGGATTTAACTTCTTTATCTAATATTCCCCATTTAGTTAATAAGTCAACGGCAACAATTACCTCTCTTCCATCATCTAATTGAGTTATTAATTTTCCTTTAACTACCTGACAACTAACTATACGAGCCTCGGATTTAATACTGATTTTTGGCTCGGTTAGTTGCTCCTGCTCTCTTATTCTTACCATAATGAATTATTTTAAAGGCTCCGTCTCATTCAATCCCTACCTCTTTTAAATCTTGTTGTATTTTAATCACAATATCCCGATAAACAAGAAGTTTTAGATCGCTTTGTGACAAAGATTGAATAAAACCTGTTATTACATAATGGATTATCCTTATATGTACCTCTTGTATTACTTGCCTTTTATACCTTTATACCGGTCTTCCTCATACCGGTCAAAAATCCCTGTGGACGGAGTTGACCGGTATAAAGAGGTTTCACTGTATACAGCTACTACATATACATTTACTCTAAATATCTCATATTTGTAGTATGATCCTTCCATGTTCGAGGATTAGTCAAGCGATTTCTATACGCTTTTATGTCATTAACAAATATTTGAACTTTCTTGAAATTATGTGCTACTGCTTTAAGAAATTTAACGTTTCTTCGTTCATGCTGTTCAATCATTATATATCCCTTGCTTCCTTAAGACTTTCTTCAATTGTATTAAAAGTTCATCATAATTACTATCCTCGTCATCGTCAATTATTTCCATAGTGTCATCATCCAGCAGATTCATATGTTAGCTATATTATATTAAAAGGGTACTAGTTAAACAAAAGGAAATTCTTACTTGACTGTAGGTTTGAGGTAAACTGGTTGCAGTTTGTAAATTAGGACGCGCGATAAAAAAAGATAGATTTCTTGACGAATTATACTTTAAAAAAGCTGGAATTTGTTTCTACCTCATAGCCTCATGGATCAAATGGCCAACAATTCATCAAAAAGCCTCGGCAGCTGTATATACATCGTGACATATCAATTATACGTAAATTTGAGCTTCTATGTTGTTTAGAGAGGTTTTTTTATTCATGTTTCATATCCTTCCGCCATGAGGCAATCTCTCGGCCTGATATTATTTGACTGTGTCGTCGTTGATGATGAGGTAAAAGTTGGTTTACGATAACAAAATTACCAAATTCAACCGCGGACGGAAAAAAGCCCCGCTTTATAACTTTCCAATGAGCTTCTATTAACATCGTCGTCTTAAACAAACAGAATCTCTCTGAATTTGCCGTAGTATCCACGTATCTTTTTTATACCAACTTGTCCATATGTACGCCCATACTTTTTTGAGATTGTGATCAACGCAATTTCAATTTTTGTCAAGTCATGATATTTGGCTTCAATCTACACGGGAATGTATGATTCACGTCAGTGGTATTAATGGATGAAGGTGAAAATGATATGCTATCATTTCCAAGACTTTTTCTCGAAGTTCTTTTGGACAGAAATGCTGGTCTACAGAGCTGGTAGAACGAATTCCAGTAACATTATCTCTAGGAAATGGGTGGAAGTCTGTGTTAACAAATCCCGTCTGTGTTCTGGCAAATTCAGAATCGTATATGTTTCTCCTGGGTATTGAAAACGCTTTTTTACAGCTCTTTTTAGATGCCAAAGACAAAGCTGTATTTTGATATTTGGCCATGCGCTTTGAGCGGCATTTATTTGAGCTCAATCTTCATCAGTAAGAAAATTCAGGATTTTGTACACCTTGACTTTGTAATCGTTTAAAAAACTCTACCTAAGAATTGCTGTTCGGACTCCATCATCCTTTTTTACATTGTCCAGAAATAAATACGTTATTGGATATCCTGTTCCGTTAATTTGTCCTATGATTGCATAGACTCAAAACCAAGCGCATTTGTTTTATCTACACACAATGATTTTGTAAGTTTCTAATATAATAAAATCAAAAACCTATTTTATATAAGATGTGGCTTACATGTTGCATCACATACAATTTTGTTGTTGTTTTAATCGATTGAAAAATGTTGCCAAAAATTCTACGTATTTTACTTCAGAATCGGAATTGTACAACAATAAATAAAATCCAGCCTCTTCTAAAAAAATCATCGTGGAAGTAAGTTGATTGTCATTTGTTCTTGGATTATATGGGTCCACCAGTAATGAACTTGCTTTTGTGTGAGTTTTTCTAGCGTAGTAGTTGTTTTGGGTGTAAGATGTAATTGTTGGAGGATTTTATCTTTGATTTCTGGCGTTACGATGTATTTTTCTGGAGCAGATCATGATTTATTTCGAGATTAAATTGACTTTTAATTCTAATTTTCAACCATCCATTACACTCATAACGTATCATGGTTCCTTTATCGCGTTGTTTTTCGTTGTCAGAATTCTTCCTTGGTTTTCGATTTAAATATTGTGATTGTGAACAATTAAACCGAAATACTCTTTCTTCTTTTGAGACAGCCATTTATTGTGAAAGCTAAAAACATAGATTAAATGATAATAACAGACCTATTTATCTTACATGTAATCGTAGTCTTGAGCATGTCTGGCGATATCTTTTGCTGCATCTCAGCATTTTCAAACTCTTCAAGTTCTATATTACAGATATTGTTAATGCCTTTGCAATCATTTTCAAAAAACTCATTATTGTCATTTCTCGAAATTGTCTCTTGAATTATTTGTTTAAGTTCAGTTAATTCAAGCTCTTGAACTGGACCATGACTCTCAGTAGAAGTTTGTTTACGTTTTTCTGAAATAAGTTTAGCAGATTGTTCGCGGCACTGAATACAAGTCTATTTTAATTCGTTTTTTGAGCTTTGGAAAGAGGATACGGGCTTAGATTTTCTACAACGAGAACAGGGTTTTTCTTGTTCCATTGTTGGAATTTGTTAATGATGTTTTATTTAATTCTTGATTTTGTACAAATGGGGTTTTGTCAGCTCTTTTTATAACGTTTGCTGTTACTCGAATAACAATAGAATAATAACAAAGAAGCTTTTGATCTTTACTGTGAACGCCAAATGTGTGAGAAACAAACTATCAAAGAAACGTATTACAACCAGTGGTTGACAACTACGATAACAAATACGATGATGACAAGGTTAACTGTA